TTTCTCAATTCACATTTCTTATACTTATAGTTAAAACCACAATGATATAGACTGCACTTTCACAAAGAATGAAATAAATCTTGAGTTTACCCTGAAATGACCAAAGAGGTGTCCGAACGGGAATCGATGCGAAACAACGCAATGGCCAGGAACGAAAAGGAATCGAAACAAAACGACAAGAATTAGCTAGATCAGTTTGTTTCAAGCATATAGATCCATCTTTTCTCTGGATCCTGCATGGTACACATGTATCTATTAAAAAGTTAAATAAACACCGTACTCAGTGATGCATGATACACTTGCGATGTCAAAATTATTTTAAGGTTTCGCACAAAACATCACGTGGATGTTCATTTTGTTTAATAAAGTCATAGATACAGTGTGTCTCCATCAAAGACGAATCCGGGCGGTTTTTCTTTGCATAAATTTGGTTCATTGACCGTTGGTTGTGGTGCGTTGTTGTTGTTAAAGACCGGACTGAGTGTATAAATAGAATCCAATGAGAAATATTATGGCTTCTTATGTTTTCTTTGCAGCTTTGAAGTGTAAGGAACATTTTTTTCAGATATCTCAACTAATAATTTTTTGTTTCCTTTAGGAATGGCCAACCAAGTAGGAACATAAATTATCTGCATTTTGACAAACTTATGTTGAAAAAAAATCCATAAATATAAGAAATATTGACTGTTTAAAAACTCAAGTGGTCAGATTTTCAAAATTTGAATTTCCCAGACTGACAGATAAGGCGGAGCTTGCATCAGCTGTTTTCTGTTTTTGTTTACATAAATATCACATGCACGTGCTGATAAGTGAAAAATTCTTACCTTGCATGTGTACAGCTTTAATCTAATCTTTATTCCATTTCACAGTAATGACTTTTAAAAATTCCATTGATTCATAATAACTTGTCCAGGTTAATATTATTAATATGAAATTGGGTAAGTTACTTTTAATGAAAATCATTTAGATTTGGTAGAAGCGTCCATTGTATACTAGAATAGGGAAGATATGTAATAATCACAACATTAATCCCATTTGTGACCCATATATTCTTGACATGCTGGATTTGGGAACCATTTCCTAACCATTTCAAGGACACGTTTTGGTATTAAATCTCTCCTGTGATACGTATATTTTCTTCTTGGTCTGTCCCTTTTAAGTGCGTCTCTTTTTCTCCTTAAATATCTTGGGTCATTCCACACCCCTCTATGAAAAAGATTTGTCCAAAAACGTTTGAATTTATTTTTTCTTAAGAAAGAATTTCTTTCATGAGGTGCACAATTTTCATTTTCCCACCACAATTGTCTACTTTGTTCATCTGTTATACATGGGCGACATAAACGGTATGGACATTCAGGTGACTCTTGGTCCTGTTCAGTGTGATAATTGTCTGAATGTTCATTACTTTCAGAATTGTTCACCTTATTCTTGTCAGAATTAGCCTCTTTAAAATCCCAATCATTATGAGCAAAAAAGTGATATATTGCATCTCTCTGCTCTTGTGTAACTTCAAGTGATAACACAGAAGTGATATTACTACATTCATTGTTTCCATCCATGTTTAATAAGATGAAAATGAACTTCCAAAATCTAGAATGTGTAATCTGCAACCCAAGGCACAATGAGGATTTCGGTTTGAACAGATTTAATAAAAGTACTGGGAAATGTTGATATACATTCTTTTTGGTAAAATAATAATCAACAATTAAAAAAAAATCAGATATATTTGTGGCAAACCAATCTTTAATTTTTAATTTTCTTTATCCCAAGTAAGACCTCAAAAATGCCCTATGACAGTGATATTTTACACATGTTGTTTGCATATCATATATATTTGGCGGGAATGGACATATCTGCAAGTACTAAAACTGTAACTGATACATTAGTATAGGGGTGTGAGAAATTTTTTAAGAATGATAAAGATTAATGTTAAAAACAAAACAGCAAAATTCTTTATCATAATTTTTTTTTCAAAGCTCATAAAGGTTTATCTCCTAAATTTATCAAATATAATTAACAAAATATATTACATATATATTTGACTTGAGTACTTATATACCTTTCTTAAATTAAATAGATTGATCCATATTTCAGATAAAATAACAATCAGTCTTTCTTATAGTATTTCGTATAGTAATTGTTGTAAATGATCTTTGTTGAAAATGTCAGAAAGTGAGAAAAAAAAATAGAAAAAGAACTCCGTGTTTCCGGATTGAAGTGTCAGGTACTGAGGAAAAGAAGGATGAAATTTTTGGAAACTTTGCTTCAATTAGACAAGAATTGACTAAAAAAACAACAAACCTATGTGAAACCTGCAGGTTATTGAAGCTTTACTGCAAAAATAGAATGAAGAGAATGATACCAGTAACACCCAGTCAAAAGAGTTTCAAGAGAAACCATGCCCATCCACATATATCAGATCAAAGAAAGTAGACACAAACCAACATATTTTTCTGACTGCAGAAGATTCATTTAAGAGGCTTATATCGGTTGTTGATTGGCATGCAAGATGTTGTAAAGAAAAACTTAAACCTACAAAAATGTTGAAAAAAGGACATGTTTGCGAAACAAGCCTAAAATGTAACGATAAAGAGGCACCTCGTGTATTTTCTTGGTCCTCCTCTCCTTATTTGCCAACAAAGGATTACTTAGTGAACAGTAGAGTGAATCATGGGATTACATGTAGTGGAATATTGCCTGCAGTCTACAAGAGATTTGCACAAGGATCAGGAATAGGGGTTATAAGTGATGAAAATCGTACATCATTTTTCAAGAGGAGTATAAATATTCAACTGACATAGCACTTTTACAAGAGATAGCATCTTATGAAAAACTTGATAGCAAGATAGACATTATGTCAGATGCAAGACACGGCTGGCGTAAGAATGCAAACGATAAAAGTGTTGTTTGCATTGGAGAAAAAACACAAAAAATTATTAGTTGTGAACATGTTACGAAAACAATGGACCCTGTATCTCAAAGACATGAAAGACTTGGGACAGAGAAGATCTTCAACTATTCACATGAAAACGATGTAACAGTGAATGTTCATTGCCATGACAGGAATTTGTCAATAAACAAATATGTAAGGGAAAATACAGAAGCAATCAATCAGAACGATGTTTGGAATTGTGTTTAGTCTGTAAAATCAGCATTAAAGAAGGTGTCAACTGGATCTAAATCTTCTGAGGGGAAAACATGGTCATTCCAGTTATCGGACAAGGTTGAACCTGTGGCTTCCCACATGCATTGGGCTATCCAGAACTGCAACCAAGATAAAAAGAAACTGCAGAAGAGTTTATTTAATATCCTTGATCACTATAAGAATATTCACACTGACTGCCATGAGAGTGCCCGGTGTAAGGTTGATGCCAATTATGAACCGTCACGAATTGTAATAACCTCTCCAGTTGCTGAAAAACTTCTTTTAAGTGTTATACTTAATGCAACTGTATACAAATATGCAAAGGATTATGTTCTTGGAAGGGATACATTTTATGTTATTATACTTCACGTTGAAATGCCATATTTTGATTGGCTAATACGAGGGTGTTAATTGACTCTATTACCCTTCATGGAGACGCTTGATCAAGTGTGCGCTTTATTAAATACGACTCTATCATATGGCAATACTCTATTACCCTTCACGGAGACGCTTGATCAAGTGTGCGCTTTATTAAATACGGATGGTAGTTATGTACAAGACGTCATAGTTTATTACTTTGAATTTGAAATTTAATCGACAGTAATAACAGAACATTCAGTATAATGAATTAAATAACACATATCTGAGAGGGTGATAGAGCAGATTGTTACCCCTTAGTTGACAATGTTTTCTCGGGGTAACAATCTGCTCTATCACCCTCTCAGCTATGTGTTATTTATATATTGAAAGTTTTAACAATGTAACAAATATTTATCAAAACAAAAGAATTGCGTTCGGTGATAGCCAATACAATGCCCGAGCCAACCTTAGTGTACTTCACTGGAATGAAAATGTTGATAGAGACTTTACTTCAGTGTCAATTAAACAAAATCACAGAATGCTAAGGAGTAAAAAGGAGAAGAAGAACTACAAAAGAGCTGCATACAAATTTAGAGACAATATTTGGTCAAGATTTATGAAAAGTATTTACTCAAAAAGAAATCGTAGACAATAGAACAAAAAAAGTGTTTTAAATGTGATATTTCAAATACAATTCATTTTCTGCAGTTTTCAAGACATTTGTTTTTGTAATTTATTAGAAATTTAGAAATAATCACAGCACAAGAAATTTAATACTGTGTAATAGTTTCTGTAATTTTTTGTATTTCTATTTTTTAATTATGATTTAGGTATTTACTGTAAATTGTTCATACATTTTAATCTTCATCACTCAGTGGAATTTTAATTATACTTACAAATGTACACTTCTGTTACAAAGATACATACAATTTATCATTCAGATACAGCCATGTGTTATTATTGTAAATAGATGATGTGTTTATTTATAAATAGGATGTTGATAACAACAAGCTCCTCCCATCCCCATATAGGTTTTATTGTTTACCACCTGGTAATTTTTATAGGTCAAGTCAGGTCTTTAAACTTTCGATAAATTAATACTCGTATCTTATACACCATTATTCGGAAACAATCTGTCCAGAGACACCTTGCTTATGGCGTAATTTGAGACATGAAGACCTTGCCCTCACCCATGGACGAAACATAGAAATTTGTTAAAAAAGTAAAAGGATTAAAAATAGAAGTCAGCTTGGTTTAAACAGGTAAACATCAATTTATCACACATGAATTTTGCGATTGTGTTATAAGAGAACCAAAGTCAATCTTTTTTTTATTGATAGACGAAACGGTAGACTGACCTAATTACACCCTAAATTTGTTTTCTTCTATTTTGTTACTTCCGTAATGCCAAAACATAAAATTAAACTTATCTAACTGTAATTTTTATCTGTTTTGCTTCTTAAAAAACAGATATACAAGAATATAAAGAATTTACATTATCCGTTGTCTTAGCTCTGCACCGTTTAGTTGGCATCTGGTACTAAATTATTACGCAAAGGGTCTTAAGGTTCATGTGGACCCTTTGGCTAAAATGGCTGCATTTTCATCTCAAAATTTACTCTGAGTACAGACAAACCTGTGCATCTGGAAAAGTTTTAAGGAATAGCATGCCCTAGATAAATAAAATTCAATTGATTGTATGTTTTAGAAAATTTAAAACTGAACTGGATTTTGCAGTGCACTTTTTTTCGTCCCGGTAGAAGATGATAAAATTAACAAACAGTTGAGTTTCACTTGATATGGTCCACTCAGGTACACAGTTTAAATCACCAATTATTGTCAGGTATCTATTGTCCATCTATTGTCCATGTCAATCAATACAGTTCACTTCAATTATTACCTGTGGAGAAGTTCTCAAACCTCTTTCACAACTTAGTTTATTTTGGCACCTTCTGGAGGAATGAAAAAAAGTGCTAGGCAAAATCCTGTCAAGTTTTTAATTTCCTAATACCTGAATACATAAAATATATTTGAATTTTATTTATCTAGGGCATGCTATGCATTAAAACTTTTCAAGATACACAGGTTTGTCTGTACTCAGAGTAAATTTTGAGGTGAAAATGCAGCATTATTAGCCAAAAGGTCCACATGAACCTTTTCAGGTACTCTGAGTACAGACAAACCTGTGTATCTTGAAAAGTTCAGACTTATTCAAACTTTAATAACTTTTTTATTTTGCAATGGATTTTGAACTTCACGTGTAGATTTTGTAAAATGAAATTATCAATATACTTTAAAAAGAAATTATGAATAATAATTTTTGAGGTGTCAAAAGTCGGACCTGAACGAGTAATTACATTACCTGAATTGACCTGAAAATCTCCAGTCCGATGTATTTAAGTTCTGTAACTTTGTTAGTTTTCAAACAATCTCCTTGAAATTTGAATTTTATAATCTTTTTTATAGAAAAATATAATATTTTATTAAAGTGACAAAAAAAATTATGAAAAATATTTGTTTGGTTCCAAAAATTGGACCTGAAAGGGGAAATAAAATCAAACCTCTTTCCAAACTTAGTTTATTTTATCACCTTCTGCAGGAATGAAAAAAAAAAGGAATAGAAAAATCCAGTTAAGGTGGATGGGGGATGGGGTCTTAATTAAAATCCATAGAATTATTTAATGATTTGTCAAAATGTAGTGTTTATCATGCTTTTTTCCAAAATATAATAAAAAGTATGGGTCACTAGACTTTTCTTCACGCTACAGCTTGTGCAAAATTTCCAGATTTTGTATAGATTATGCATGGAAAATCCAATCTTGTGTCATTAAAAGAAAACTACACCATAGAATTTTAGGATAAAATGTGAGGAGATGGCTCTTATAACATGCTTTCAGATAAGAAAAAGAAAAAATGGGATCACCGGACTTGTTTTCTTGCTACATATTAAAATAGGTACATTCATAACACTTTCTATTATAAAAATTACTTTTATCTGAGTTATCTCCCCCTATTATCTGAGTTATCTCCCCTTGTGTGGCAAAGTTGAAAAAAAAAATTAATCAAAGAAAAATAATGTGTTTTTTAGAAAAAAAAAGCCGTAAATATGATAAAACACATAATTTTCTATATTAACATGAAAAGTCTTACACATGAATTACATACTACTCTCAATATTTGCACATATCATTAAAGATCTAGACCAGTTGTTATCTGCTACTTCAAAATCCAAGATGGAGGAAGACACCCAAGCCACCTTAAGTTTTTAATAAATTCTGAAACATATTAAACTAAATTTACCTATGTTTACCTGTAAAATGAATGCATGCAAATGTAATCAAAAGTTGAGCACAAACAGAATGATTTTTACATGCAAATGTAATGCACATTGGAGTTCAGTAGTAGATTTTGGTTTTTAATAGAAAAAAATGAAAACTAATAAAGACAATTATGATTTATATATTATATATAAATATACATTTGTAAAATAAAAAAAAGTTTAAAAAAAAAATGTAAAGCTAATAATGATGAAAATACACATGGTACGTGAATAATGCACTTACATCCTTTAATATGGTACTATTACCATGATTACACTTATAAATATTTAAGTCCAAGCTTAAAAAAAGATTTGTTTTTGTTTTCATACAAATTTTTATGTGTTGTTATACTATAGGTACTATAGAAATTGAAAGGAGGAGGTACAGAACTATGAAAAAAGAAGAGCATTTATCATGTTTATGTCAACAATGTAGTTCAAATAAAATAAATGATGAAGATCATTTCTTATTTAAATGTACACAAACATGACAAAATGAAAACTTTAGACTTGATTTTTTTACCAGTTTACAGAAAATTAAAAATATCTATTCAAATATAGGTGATATTGATAACTTTGATAAATTGGTTTTTAATGTCATTCATGTCGGTCAGTTGTGCAGTATGCAGCTGCATTTTCTAAAAAGTCATGGTTACAGAGGAGAGTGGACGAAACAACTGCATGGTATATGTCTTGTAGTTTTAATATTCTTGTGATGTATTATGTACTGTGTTATTTTGTTAACCTCATGTATGCCATCAACCAAATTGGGGTATAACTGTGCATAAATTTGAATAAATTATAAATAATATTTTTCATTGTGTTTTTAGGTATTATATTTTGACAAATATATTATTATAATTATGTTAATGGCAAATTTATTCTATTTTAGTTAGCAGTGTCCATCATGGATTATAATATCACTATTCCTGAATACTGTCGAGATTTGTCAAAACACATGTACCAGTTACAACAAACAGGTGTCTTGTGTGATGCATGGCTTGTTTGTAAAGATGGGGTAGTCTTTGTACATAAACTGGTACTGATGGCATGTGGCAGTGCTTACCTTCAGCAACAGCTCTCAACAGATAACAGTACTACTACACAATGTCAAGTTTTCTTGAAAGATTACTCATTGAAAACTGTTTATGATTTTGTACAAGCTCTCTATATAGGAAGTTTTACCTTGAATCATGATCGGGCAGTTGATATTTTGAAACTTTTCACATTTTTGGATGTAACAGTATTTACATCTACTGTTCAAGGTGTTGTTGATAATGATCCAAATTTAAAACAAGAAGTTGAGAAAGGACGAAAAAGCAATAGTAAGAATTGTGTATTTTATGAAGTAGAAATTGCCAAAGACTCATTTTCTGCTCCAGTTAAAGTTCCTGTAAAGGCTCAGAAATCGAATATAATTATGGAAAGAATAGTGGACAATAGCTTTAAATCCCAAGATCAAATTTCTCAATCAAGTGTAGAAACTCCAAAGAGAAATAGGATATTGATTATAAAATCTGATACAGCAGAAAATACCAAGAGAAAAAACAACACAAATGATGATGGCTGCATTCCAAAAAAGCAGGCAAGAGTTTCAAAACAAACACTCAATGTTATTCAAACAAGTCCAAATATTTGTCCACTTCAGACAAAACTTGAAAAAGAACCCTCCAAAAATATTCCAAAAAGTCAATGTTGCACCATGCAAAGTGATCACACATATGAAGCAGACAATACAAAAGAGTTGTTGAATATAGCCAAAAGCCTGTCAACAAGTGATGATCCAGTATGTATTGGGTTGTCCGATATAGACGAAGACTTGCTGACAAATAGTGATGGGACCATTTCCGAGTTCGATAAATCAAAAACTTTATCAACAAACACAGACATGGGTAAATCAGGTAAAGATGGAGAGCAACAGGAACAATGTCAACTTTGTCAGAAAATATCAGAAGATTCAGGGGAAAAGAAAGATGGGCAGTACATATGTAGAGGTTGTGTTAGCCTGTTTACTGGAGAAGATACACAGACAGATCGAGAAAAGAAGAAACAAGAACCAAAAGGAAAGAAAGAGAAAAAGGTAATTTGTTACACTAAACGTATGTTAAAATTTCACACAATTGAAGAAATCCTGTTTTATTTCTGGAAATTTATTTTGAAATCTCTAATCTTAATATAAACCCAGCGTGAATGTCTAAATATTCATCTATTGAGCATGTTTAAACACAAATTACCGTGTCGAAAAACTGGCACCTTTCTTTACATAAAATAAAATGAGATAAAAGTATTTGCTGGTTTACCATGTTTACTTTGGTCTCTTGATTTATGGAAAAATTGAAAAAAAAAGGAAAAAAGTGAACTTTATGAAAAGCCATGAAATACAAAAATGCAGGGTTTTCAAAAGTTTTTCTGTATAACAGAGTCACAGGACTGTTACTCACTAAAAATGGGAGTCAATCCTGACAAGACAGTTTGGAGTCATAATAATGATGATGATGATGATGGAAGGCTGTTAAAAGTCCAGCGGCAAATTGAATGCATATTCAAGACGAGAACATGTTACTGTAATCTGAATATTAATCCTGCTTGTACTGACATGCTGAGCTTAATTTTTTACGTGCTAGTTCACAAGGTAATAGTCCACAGGAAGACATATCACCCTACCTGCATGGACACATATTTCTGACCCCAAGCCGACTAGTCTTTGCTCTTACTACTTATCGGTGAAGCATCAATTTTAGTATTTAGAATGTTTGGTATGACCCGGACGAGGTTCAACCGACAACCAGATGCTCTAGTCAGACATACTACTATGGAGTCAGAAAATAAAATATGTATAAGTCTTAACAGTCCCTGTTAAAGCATACATATAAATGAACTCACTGATTACTAACGGTGATATTAATCAATGTATTTGTTAATGATTAGGTGTAGCTCATGTACACTTATACGGCATACTTAACTTTACATGCTTTAATTGTCTCATATACATCTACCCCATTTCTGGCACATTTATGCCCAATACCTTCACCACTTTTATGAAAAACAGCATAACATGTTCATTTTCACCGAAACCTTGACATCCACTCCAGAGAGACGAATAGTTCTAAATATAGCTCATCTGTAGTCTTTGATAGTAAGTGTTTAAAAATTTTCTTCAAAGCAATATGGAAAAATTCAGCTAACATGTTGAACACTCATGACAGTGACTGCATAGATCA